GTGGTTTATTCCACAACACTACAATATTTTCCCTTCCAAGCTGCTGATAGCCTCAGAAGGAGAGACTGCTTCTTGGCGCTACCGTTGACATAAATGGTAGTCCTCAACACCTGACTTTGGAAAAGCCTTGCCATACTAACCACTACATCCACTGATAGTGAAAGCAGAGCTGGTCTCTCGGTGGTTGTTGTAAGGGCGGAGGAAAAAGAAAGAGAAATAAAACATTTCACTGCCAATGCACAAATTTTAGGCTATTAACAGGCAGGAAGTGTTTGCCCTCAACAACATCACACAAGGTAGAAAGTAACAGCTGACACTTTTCTACACTAGAAAGCCTGTTTCTGAATAGTGCAGAACCACTATTGTCATGTGCATCTGAGGGGCTATTGTAAGTAAAGGTGCTGACGTAGTGGCAACATGGTCTGAATTTGCAAAACATTTTTCTGTTGCTCAGTTTACACATAGCCTTGTTGCAGTTCACCTTGTGTCCAAAACATAACACCTGGACTATGATAAATTGGCAGCCAGAAGAATGCAAACAGTATTCCCCCATCATATTCATTCTCTCTTATTTTCTCTCCTTGCACTCCAGTTCGCCTCCACTCCAGCTGGATCCTAACCATCTCCCAAACTAATTTGAAAAGGGAAATACTTTATGCTGTTACTTACAGCATGTTTCTATCTGTGCTACTGCTGGATAAAACAATGCACAAAGGTAATCCCAGGAACTAACAGATTAGCATTTCAACTCCGCCAGGAAATCGTTGCAGGCTGCAGGAACCCATCCTGCCCATCTGGGAAAAAAAACAACCCTAGCCTTCCATCAACCTTCCATCTTCGAATTTTATCTATTAGCTGCGCACAAACACCTATAGATTTGGCTTGATCTGTATTGATTTCCAAAGCAAAAAAGAGCATGGGTGCTTCATTATGGCTCAGGAATAAAGCATTAGTTTTGGTTGGAGAAAGAATCAGGATCAATCATCTCAGCCTAACGTGTCTTCCAAAGAGCTAAACCTGAACTGTCAGCCTGAACTATTCAAAAAACCTGTCCTGAATTTGACTACTCTGACTTCAACCAAACCCTCAAATATTGTCTCCGGTCTTCTCATGCCGTTCAAGAGTTACGTTGTGCCTCCTTACCTGTCATGTTGTGCAAGTGTCTGTAGGAAATGCCGGCGCAAAGCTTGAATGTTGCTGGCAGCATCACGAGAGTCTTTAAAAGTCTCAAAGGAGTCCCGATTTGTGTTGTTACTCCTTGTGTCTTTGAGCTCCGGGAGTATTGTTGTCACTGGAGGCTCTGCTGGTCTCCACCCTTAAATACAGCTGATGAAGGATGCTATTTTGTCAGCTGGGAGATAAGGAAAGACATCACTTACAGTAAGCTGGCTGACACCAAGGCCAATCTCGTCCTCTCTTGAGTTGGAGGGCGGGGGGGGGAGGTAGGGACAAGTGGCAGGCATTGAAATTGCAAGGGAAGCTCCACCCAAGGGAAGGCTGCACAATCCCCAAAGGGGTTTAAGCCAGCTTATCTTCTTTTGAGGGTTGCCAGATGTTTTCCAGCCAGGTTGTGCTTCAAATCAGTCCTACCAACCAAAGCTTTTCTCTCTTTCTTTTTCAGCAAAAATCCACTTTGGGTGCTCCTATTAAGGTGTGACAGGTTGAGAAATGGAGTATAGTGATCGGTAACTAATTCAGGACCAGAGTAAACAGAGGCAACGAATTAAATTCCTGTGCCAGATGCAGTTCACCATCTAGAGGTGTCACTCCAGTTAAAATTCAGATTAGGTAAATTGCAAGATTCCTTCCATTAAAAAAAATAGGATGATTCCGTTATTCCATGTATCGATATGTTTTCGTTATTTAAAAACGGTACACGCCAAGTTTATAAAGTGATCCAGGACAAATAAAACAAAGTCAGAAAAATAAGCATAACCGTGATGAAAAAAAATGTAATAAGAATGGAGAGACACATCAAAGAGCTGGCAGGACCTTGAAGATTATTACGTTTCATTCCTTGCTCGGTGTAAGATTTGCAGAAAAAATTAAAAAGAACCAAAGAGAGGCCATTAATGATTAAAAAAGCAGGAATGAAAACTCCGAGAACACGTTGAAATTGAACAGCAATTAGCCCCAAGTATCTAGAGGCCTTCGACGGAGACCAATGTATAAATGTCTCAAATCCTTATCATTATTTACAGAACAGAAACACAACCAGAATACAATCCTGATGCAACAGAGAATTATTCTGTGCCATCTCTCAAATATCTGGAATGTTTTTAATCAGTTTCCCTTAGTCATTAGATGTGGCTTTCAGGAGAAAATCAGCATTATCCAAAAACCTTTCTGTGACACAATTTAAAAGGGCAGCCTTCTTAAAAAATAAATAACAGAACCCCCTTAGTGGGATGAAACTTTATGTTTATAATGCACTTCCTGATTTACTATGTATTTACTCTGATTTACTCTGCTACAATGATCATCTGCTCATATGATAAGAGGACAGGAATGATTAAGGTAAGATCCTTCATTTTTCTATTACTGTTCTATGAGTTATTCTGCCACAGAAGCGGGCAGTTCCTATCAGGCCTCAGAAGATACTGTACCAAATGCTAAGGAGACTCAGTCCTGCTTAAAATTTCAGACCAAAATAAAACAAAACAAGATATTCCAGAAGAAGTCAGTCAGTGGGAAATTACAGCCAGTTTTATGACTATCATCCAGAACTGAACTCAATTTAAGGGGGCCTTTTACTTTATTCTATTTAAAATCATCAAGTAAACTTGTAGTTTCATCAGATCTTAGGAAGAAGACAAAGGCAAATCATTTCTGCAAGAAAACTGCATGGACCTGTTGTCATGTCAAAACTGACTCACAAAGAATCAAGGCGGACTCAAAGGCACAAATATTTTAATCCTTCTCATCCCTTGTGCCTCCTGGCTGGACACTAGAAAGGATGACCCCAGGATGACCATGGCAGATCTGAAGGAGGTGGTGCAAGATGGAGGGATATGGAGAGTGATGATCCATAGAGTGGTCAAGGGTCAGACACAACTGAACGACTGACAAAGACAATGACGTAGAGCAGGGGTCTTCAAACTTGGCCCTTCTATGACTTGTGGACTTAAACGCCCTGAATTCTTCAGCCAGCATGCCTGGCTGAGGAATTCTGGGAGTTGAAGCCCACAAGTCATAAAAGGGCCAAGTTTGAAGACCTCTGACGTAGAGCACTGCTTAAGAGGTTGGACTGAGACCAGGAAGTCAAATTCAAGAGTTTCTTGGCCATGAGCTGACAGGACCAGTCCCTAGCTTCATCTGAGCTACTTCATAGAGATTACTCTTGGGAAGAAAAATGAGAGAAACTCCAGTGACACCATTTTGAGGTTTCAAGAGAAAAGACAACACATACACATGATAAAATAAAATAAAATACTGACAAAGTTTTTAAAAAAATAACACCATGGTTATGACTCTTTCATGAGGCTTTGTGGAAAGTACTCTGACCGTATCACCACTGAATTCTAGTTGTGTGCCTGATACAAATGAATTGGGGGAAAAAAAAGTCTCTTGGAGATGGTATATTGCAAACTTCCTCTGGGTGGTATGTCCAGTTCTGTGATGGCTTTGTTTTAGTTCCCTCTTAAACCTCTGCATGCAAAGAGGGCAGTGTGGTAAATGTGTCATGCACATTGCATCACTTTATTATACTGTTCCTGGTTTTGTTTAGGTAAATAAATGGGTGGAAACTGATCAAGGAGAGAAGCAACTTAGAACTAAGGAGAAACTTCCTGACAGTTAGAACAATTAGTCAGTGGAACAACTAGACACCATATGTTGTAAATGCTCCAACACTGGACATTTTTAAGAAGAGACTGGACAACCATTTGTCTGAAATGGCATAGGCTTTTCTACCTGAGCAAGGGGTTGGACTAGAAGACCTCCAAGGTCCCTTCCAACTTTATTATTATTATTATTATTATTATTATTATTATTATTATTATTATTATTATTATTATTATTATTATTATTATTATTATTATTATTATTATTATTATTATATGGCACTGGGGCAATTGTGCAATCTGTATTTTTTGTAACATTTGTCTATAATTGCATCGTGTCCTTTTTCTAACACGCTGGTCTTCAGGGGTGGCTAAACCATGATGGCTTTCAATGATAATGGAGACAATAATTGCAGGGCAACTAAGCCAGGAGATGTTGACTCCAGGTCTTAAGGAATAGACTACTTCTGTCAGAATTATATTAAACACTAGCTGTACCCGGCCACGCGTTGCTGTGGCTCAGACAGGTTAAATGTTTTTATCTGTCACAGGTGTGACATCTATATAATAGTAGGTATATAAAAACGTGCGCGTATTCGAATGCAACGTTGTGTCAAAATTTCAAAGCAATCGGTGAAGAACTTTCGGAGATTTAAGATTTTGAACAAATGAACATTTACATTTTTATTTATATAGATAGATAGATTTAGAAATGGTCCTTCAAAACAATACATGTTTGAGTTCAATGTGTATCTCCCTTGTGAAGAGTTTAAATGCCAATGCTGTAAGTCTTTTCCCTCCCAAACCACAAAGTAGTTAACATGCTTTACCCTAGCTTGTTTAGTAACTTGGTCTGTATTGTTAGCTATGATTCAGACTGCCCTGCAAACCCCAGAATATTTGGTTAAATGGTCAAGAAGTATGGTGGGTGCAGGGAGACACACTCCTTCTTTGACAATAAAGAAGGGAAGGGAAGGGAAGGGAGGGGAAGGGAAGGGAGGGGAAGGAAAGGAGGTCCTCCAATATGGATGCAAACCTCAAATGTTAGGTAATGGAAAAGAATCCCTATCCCAGCTCTGAACATATTCATTTTCTGAAAACAACAACCTGTGCAGCTTTATTTGAGCATAGTGGTAACCATCCATTCCACATTGTCATGCTATTGATGGGACAGAAGAGATAATCACATTTTCCCAAAGTGTGGATACCGGATAAAATATGATTTCCCAGCAAGGAGAGCCTGTCTGGATCTCCCTGACCTTCGCTTTATTTAAGTGAAAATAAAACGAATAGACATTACAAAATCCAGAGAGATGTTAAATTATGAAAAAACCCATATTAAGTCTGAGAGGCAGAGTGTTTCAAATGCAGATGGTGTGACTTGCCCTGCAGCACACCTGACCTTGTTTAGGCAGGGGATAACTTCCATGAAAAAATGTTAGAAGATGGTCCACAGAGTGGTGGGAGAGGAACGGAGGAGGGTGCAGGTGTTGAAGCAAGTATGGATTTTAGAGGGATTCCTTCCTAAAAGAAAGACGAAACACCAGCCAGTCTCTGAAAACTCTTCATCTCTTCTATCTGCGAAACCAGCTGCATTATCTTTCTCAAAGGGGGGGGGGACGCCGTGCAGGAGATGATAACAGTCAAGGATAAGCTGACATTTCCTAGTGAGTTACAGCTGTAGGGATGCTCTTTCCCAAAAGCCAGTCGATGGGCAGTTACTTCCTTTGACGTCAGCTTGCGTGCTCTTTTGCTGGGATGCTGACCTTCCAGGTTACTGTTGCAAGAAGGCGAGAAAATGGGGATGTCTGTTGAAGGCTGACAGCTTTGCTTTTTCTACTAGGAAGAATCTGGGCCCAGCAGCAAAGCCATCATCGAGTGGTTAAAGACCCACCCTAGGCATTTTCCTGGCTGTTTCCATCCATGTTATATGTGCTTATTAATGAACGGGAGTGCTGTTTTTTTTCTGATATAAATCTTCTCCTTCTCCTCCTCCTTGCACCCAGCATGTATTCCAGCATGCAGCATCTGTAGTAAAGGAAATATAGATAAATTTCCATTGCTTTCTTATGTCAAAGATACCTTAATGTAAAATATAGATTCACTATAGAGCTTGTTGTCATCAGATCTGGGGAAGGCATCAGTTTCTAGGCTGATCCAATCACAGAACCAAGTGCTGGATTCAGTAAGCCGTTGGTTCTATCAGGCTGGATTCTTCTGATGGTCTATTCTGGGGTGGAGATAAATGCAGAGCAAGTCAACCATGTGGTTGATTTTAATTTATTTGAAAATAATAATTGTTGGAATTGGGTATGTCTAGTTTAACGAAGAGAAGAATGAGGGGGGACATGATAGCAGTCTTTCAATATCTCAGGGGCTGCCACAAAGAAGAGGGAGTCAAGCTATTCTCCAAAGCGCCTGAAGGCAGGAC